ATCCAAGAGGAGTGGTTGACCTTTAAATTGATGCCAATTATATGGTCGTATGTACTCAGATGTGGGAGTTACTCTTAAATATTTACAGGAGTTTACGTACTGAGGTATTATTTAGTAACCCATTACCACACTAGAGGGCAGAAATATAGTGCTGATCGCTTTGAAATTTTCCATTAGATTCCAGTTGTGGTCAAGGACAACGCCTATAATTTTCGGTGAAGATTAGATAATAATTTTGGCATGAAATGGACCGAAAACTTTTTTGTGTTTTTTTCTCAAGTCGATCTGTAGGTCACAATTATAAGCGAACATCATAACACAACTCACGGTGAAGGGAATATGGACACGTAATTAGAAGGGCTGTACTGAATATTTGTAATATTCGGAATATATGTCAGTGTAAAGGAAGATGTGCTTTTGACCTCTAATCGGGCAAGCGGGTGGTAGTTGTGTAGGGTATCGTATGGTCGGCCCCGTCCGACTATGCTACTCCGCTCACTGGTTTTTTTTTTCTTCTTTTCTTGTCACACTTCCAGCGAGCATAAATCTGAAATTGTTTGATCGATACTTTACGAGAAATCTATCATTACAACCATCTGCCGAAAAAATAATGGATTTCTTCGTCCCCAATCTAATATATATGTTATATGGTCGGAAATGATTATTTCGACGAGATACAAACCAAAATTAATATACCCTCCATACTATGGTGGAGGGAATAAAAATGGAATTTCGGTCTCCATGCTATGGCGGAGGGTATAAAAATGGAATTTCTGTCTCTAGTGTGTAGTAATCTCTAATGTAGGATATCGACATTACCAACATGCAAAGATTACATCTCATTTCGGCATGTTTACAGTACTAGCTAAATTGTCTTGACGTTTGATATTTAATTTTCTCCTAACTAATAATTAAAAATTTCATAAAAAGTTGTCCCATTCGATTATACTGAAGAAATTTAATCTCAACAAATACATAGAATATCTACAAATCAAGATATGAAGCAATCTCTTCATGTATAACCTCCGAACTTTGACCTATGGGGGATTTTTCTTTCTGGAGTTTTCATATACTTACAAAGGTATTTTATTTTCAAAAGAAAGTGTTCACTCCCCCAAATCGTGTCGCACATTGTATTTAGAATATGTCCCCCTTCTTTATATGTGCATATTTGTTTATTTGTTTATGCTATGTAACATAGCTTCAGGTAGTAATGCAGATCTTCTTATTCATATGCCCCCTTTTCTATATTTACTTATATTAACTATTTGTTCACCACTCTCCCATATTTGTCTTTTATTTTCTTCATTGACCTTGAAACTATTTATGCAGATTTAAAGTAAAACACATCACAGATGTTACTGAAAAGGGAATGAAATAAAAATTAAGATATTTATCTAAATACTATAAAATTTTCTTTTCATTTCTTTCCAAAATCGCATTTAAAATCCATACAAGTGTAGTATAAGAATCAAAACCCATTAATATTATTTTTAATCTCTCTCAAACTGCATCATTATACGATGGATTAAAAACATAATTCTATGAAAAATTCACCAAAATATCTATAACCGCAACTCAACCAAATAATAATAATAATGATTCTGCAATTATGTACTTTAGCTCCATTCATGGTCTATCGTAAAAACCAAAAACCATATGGTATTATATAAATGACATCTTCAGTGTCTCGTGTCCGTTGTTGTTGCTGTTGTTTGTGTTCAAGCAAAGTCGGCGCATACATATTTATATCTTCTCCTTGAATTTGTCGTTTTTTTTGTTTGCTCCTTATACTTCACCTTAAACCCACTTTGGCAGTGGTAAATTACGAAAAATCACTTTTGCGCTTGATTGCATTTAAGCTTTTGTGTCAACACAAATGGAAAATTGGAAAATGCAAACGGCAAACACAACTTAAGCACGTTGGCGATAAGCATGACGACGACAACGACGACGATGATATTTATTTGAAAATTGCCTTTAATTTGTTTGTACAGTACAAAAGGAAAAAACAGAAAATACATTCAAACGAAGAATAGTTTGATTGTGTATGTGAGCGCCGGTGTGCATTTGTTTTTGCATAGGAAATGTGGTTTTGTTGTATTGGCGTATTATCATCATCATCATCATTAGTTCTGTGGTCTGCCCGAAAGAAGTCATCTAGATAAAATATTGATAAGTATGTTTGGTAATTTTAATAAAATTAGCGGTTAGTGGATCGCTAATAAGGAATATAACTAAATTTATATATGCATGTGTGTGAATGAACGTATTTGTGTGATTACATATAATTAAAACATTTTGGCCGACCACAATACAAGAAAGCATTCACAAGTTTTATTTTTATTTCAATGACGTAAGTGGATAATGTTTAGGAGATTGTGCACCACATCAATGCGGTTAGTCACTATTGTTAAAGTTGAATCAAGAGATTATGTAAATCCAAACATCTGAGACTAGAGTACTTATTGATTATAACCTCCGTCATGCGTGAAATTTTAAAAAATTCACGCCTTGTGTTGACCCTTGAAAAAAATATTCTTTAAAAGTCCACGCCTTGTGTTGACCCTTGAAAAAAAAATCGATTTCAACGAAATTTGTCAGAGGTTAGATTATACAAATTCCAGTACGTTTTGTTCCTATCAATTACTTAAAAGCTTCAATTATTTAAAATCAATTTATAATATAAGGGAGCTATAACTAAATCTCTATCGATTTTCACGAAACTTGGTACACATCATTCTGGACTAAATTCAGTACGCTATGCCAAATTTCGTGCAAATCCAAAGATATATAGACTTTGGTGCACCATTTACATGAAATCCGACGAAACTATATATGGGAGCTATATCTAAATCTGGACATATTTACACGAAACTTGGCAGACATAGTTCGAAGCTAAATTCAGTACGTTATGCTAAATTTCGTGCAAATCGAAAGATATGTAGGGACTTGGGTGCACCATTTACATGAAATCGGACGAAACTGTATATGGGAGCCAAATCTGCACCGATTTTCTCGAAACTTGGCAGACATCGTTCTAGACTCAACTCAGTACGTTATACCAAATTTCGTGCAAATCGATATATATATATATAGGGTCTTCGGTGCACCATTTACATGAAATCCGACGAAACTATATATGGGAACTATATCTAAATCTGGACAGATTTTCACGAAACTTGGCAGACATTGTTCTAAGCTTAATTCAGTACGTTATACCAATTTCCGTGCAAATCGAAAGATATATAGGGACTTGGGTGCACCATTTACATGAAATCGGACGAAACTATATATGGGAGCCAAATCTGGACCGATTTTCTCGAAACTTGGCAGACATCGTTTTAGGCTCAATTCAGTACGTTATACTAAATTTCGTGCAAATCGAAAGATATATAGGGACTTGGGTGCACCATTTACATGAAATCGGACTAAACTATATATGGCATCTATATCTATATCTAAATCAAGACCGATTTTCACGAAACTTGACAGACATCGTTCTAGGCTTAATTCAGTACGTTATCCTAAATTTCGTGCAAATCGACAGATTTATAGGGTCTTTGGTGCACCATTTACCTTAAATCGGACGAAAAAATATATGGGAGCTATATCTAAATCTGAACCGATTTGTCCCAATTTCAATAGGATTTCAATAGGTCCTTGGGACAAACAAAAGAGATGTGCCAAATTTCATCCAAATCGGATTATAAATGCGACCTGTACTTTGTTTACAATTTAACGCCAACAGACGGACAGACAGACATGCATAAATCGACTCAGAAAGTGATTCTATGCATATTCTCAAAAGGAACTATGCTTCTATCTCATTTCCTTTTGCCTGTTACAAACAAATGCACAAAGACATATTACCCTGTACCACAATATGGTGAAGGGTATAAAAATCCACGCCTTGTGTTGAACCCTGAAAAATATTCTTTTAAACATTTACGCCTTGTGTAGACCTTGAAAAATATTCTTTAAAAAGTTCAAAATTTTTTGGTTTGCTTGAAAAAAATATTCTTTAAAAAATCCACCCCTTATTGTGGTCCTTAAAAATATGTTTGAGAAATCCTCCTTTTTCTAAATCTATTTACATTCCCCCAATTATTTTAGTAAATAAATTGACATTTTTCATAATTTTTAAAATTTTATTTTTATTTAAAATAAATTATTAATTTATACATAAATATTTCAAATATATATAATACAAATGGGCATGATTAAAAATAAATTTTTGTTGATTTTACACTTTATGAACTTTAATTTATTTTACTGGGATACACACACACTGACACGCATGTGTGTGTGTATTGGTTTTGTGCGTAATATAATTCCCTAAAGTATAAATTGCATTATTTAATTTATTATTATTGTTATTATTCGTTTTGTTGTTGTCACTATTTTTAATGTTTTGTAATTTTTATTAAATATATAGTGTATATTTTTTATATATATCATATGTAAACTCAAAGGATTTACATAACTAAAAATATACAACAACAAATGAAATTTATATAAAACATAACATTTATTATGAATTTATTGAGGTTGTCATGTAATGCTGGAGATAATTAGGGAGTTATTTTTCTGAGGGGTGGGGATGGATTATTATAATTTATTTAACCGTTAACAGAAAAAACGTTAAAAAAATTTATGGCATCATCAAAAAGAGCTGTAATTCTCTTTGGACTCTGTCTCTCTTTTTGAAACAAATTAATTAAGTGGCAGTTTATGAGCATGAATGAGTGTTGAAAAAAAAATAAATATCGATGTTGTCGAAGACTACAACACTTGCCAGTTATGACCTTATAAATAATTATGATAATAAATAGATTTTTTTCTTTAACTTAGATATTATATAACTACAACGACATATGACGTAAGTAAACACTAGAATTATGCAAACGAAAATGAAGGGGGAGCTTAAGCTTTAAGTGACTAAGAAAACACAAGAATTGTTGTGACACTCTTCTCTTCACACCGATGAGGTTCCATCATTAATGCTTAGCTTCATTTTCTTCCTTGACCACAATGGGTTTCAATTCCTTTACATCAGCTGGCGTTTCTTCGTTTTCGTCCGGTTTCACTTTGACTTCCACTTTTTCGGATGCCTGCTTGGCCACATCTGGTTCGTTTTCATCTTCTTCGGCGTCAGCCGCTTCGGCGTGTATGTCAATATCTGAACGTGCCTCTGCCTTGTGATTTGGTGGCAAGGGTTGATGTTGTTGCTGGGGTTGTTCGACGGCATTGAGTACGGTTTGTAGGAGGTCAGCTGATAAGATGTCATCATGATTTGAACCGGAATTGCCACCAAATTGTACTTGATAAGTTTGGCTTTGGCCATTGTTGTTGGAGGTTCCGGTTTGCGAACTAAAGTGTATGGATTGCGATTTTTGAGCCGATAGAACATTCAAACCTTCCAGGCCAGGTAAGCCATTTGTGCTGGTGCCATCTGGCAAGGCTGTTACTTGGGATTTTTGTGAGGCATAGCCAATGTGGTCGATTTCATTGTTGCCGGATGGTGGAGGACCATAACTGCTTGCTGGGCCGGCCAGAATTTGGGAATGTTGTTCGGCCACGGGTATACTTTGGGATATGGAAGTGCCTTGTTGTTGTTGCTGCTGTTGGTAATTGAAGGCTCCTCCGCCGCCCACTAAATTGGGGCCATGACCGCAATCGTGGAAACGTGGTTGTTCTTGTTGCAATGGCAAGGCTTGGCTATGGACAATTTGATGATTATATTGTGTGGCACTGAAGGCATTTTCAAAGGCAGCCTGGGCACTTGATGTGTATGATACACCGGCACCGGATCCACTGGCAAATTGCTGTTGAGGTCCTGTGGGCAGAGGTGGCAAAAATTGTTGTTGCAGTTGTGGGGGTGGGCCGGGTGGCAAATATTGTGGTGGTGGAGGAATGCCCTGTGGTTGGGGTTGTGGTGGAGGTGGTACACCATATTCAATGTGGACATTATTTTGTTGTTGTTGCTGGAAGTGTTGTTGTTGCTCATGATGATGGTGATGATGATGCTGTTGCTGCTGCTGTTGACTTTGTTGCACAAATACTTGAGCTGGCTGTTGCACCGGCAATTGTTGTTCAATTATGGCCAAAGGCAATTGCTGTTGTTGCTGTTGTGGTGGTGCTCCATATTCAATGTTCAAATTACCGGGTCCAGTTTGTGGAATTTCATTGGCAGCCGGTGGTATATATGTGGGTATTTGAATATTTGGCTTAACACCAAACTGATCCAAATGCTGTACAGTGTTGCCAATTGTTTCAATTAATCCCTGTGGTACGGGTGGACGGAATGCAACTGGTTTGCTTGGTGGAGCACCATTTGGTGGTGGGAAATTGCCAACATTACCCGACTGTTTACCATATTGAATACCTAGGCCAGCTTCAGCATGATGATGGACAAAAGCAGCAGAGGAACTGAATTCACCGTGATTATGTTGGGGTGGTGGTGGAGGTCCATAGTTGCCGCCAGGGCCGGATGGAGGTGGTAGTGGGGGTCCAAAGTTGCCACCAGGGCCTGAGGGTGGTGGTGGAGGTCCATAATTGCCGCTTGGTGGTGGTGGAGGAGGTCCATAGTTGCCCTTTGGTGGTGGTGGAGGAGGTCCATAGTTACCCTTGGGTGGTGGTGGGGGTCCATAATTGCCTCTGGGTGGTGGTGGTGGACCATAGTTGCCGCTGGGTCCAGAAATACCGAAGCTATGAGAGGAAGAGGAGGAACTGGAGCCACTGAATTTGGCAGCATGTACGGAACCGGGAGCATAGGAATCAGCTGGAGGTTTGCTATACGAATCGTCTTCGGTACCAAGTGAGAGCTTAAAATGTAGAAGAAAAAAACAAAAGGGAAATGATTATAGAGAATTCAATGAAAAACTTGACCAAAATCCACAATTGACGCGGCATTTTTGTCAGTTCCGAAATGGGCCACAGTACCCCGAAAGATCCGTTCGATCTTATGACCAAGTATCCATATAAATTATATGTTTTCCTCTTTTTACTTTAAAAAAAAGACTATTCTCCCTCTCTATACTCACCTCGAGAGCTTGAGCTTCAAGTGGCGTGATACCAATGTGTTTGTTAAAATCTCCGGCGGGACCAGTTGAGGGCAAAGCTTGAGGTAGAATTTCCTGATGAATATTATTGTCATTATCGAAATTACCCGACTGCAAGGCTACAGCAACCAATTGTTCATCGGTTAAACCTTCAATGCCTCCAGAACCAGAAATGCCCAAAGTCAAAGTCGAAGAAGAATCTCCACCAGCAGTTGCGCCGCCTGCAGTATGAGCACTTGCTATGGCACCACTAGCACCTCCAGCATTTGAACTATATTGTGTCGAGGTGAATGAAGAAGCTCCTCCGAAACCTTGTGATACCTGACTGTAACCCGATTGTGTATCGATGTGATTATTTTCAACATAGGCACCAGCAGGGGCAGGTATGGGTTTCCAACCATCACAAGCGGTGTGGAAAGGAGCTTGAGAACCGGAAATCGAATGGGTATGACCTGAAGCATCAATTTGGATTTGAACCTGTTGTTGACCATTGGCCTGGCCATGATGATGGTGTTGATGGTGAGCTTGACCATTTTGATTGTTGCCCAAAATAATTGTTGTCTCTTCGATCTTTTGGAAATTGGGCAATGGTGGTGGTCCATAGTTACCGGGTGGTGGGCCATAAGATTGTTTGGGTGGTTGATTCAGGGGTCCTGATGGTGGTGGTCCATACGAAGTGGCTGGCTGATGTTGTTGAGGTTTGAAGAGGGGGCCAGGTTGTACCAAAGGCAAGGCTTGTGGTGGTGGAGGACCATATTGTTGCTTGGGTGGGGGACCATATGAGGAAGCTGGAATGTGTTGGATTTTCTGTGGTGGTGGAGGACCATATTGTGGCTTAGGTGGTCCATATTGAGGCTTGGGCTGTGGTGGTGGGGGACCATATTGTTGCTTGGGTGGAGGGCCATATTGTTGAGCTGGTTTATGGGGAGGACCATAGAATGGTTTTGGCACACCAAAATGAGTCTTGATTTGTTCGTGCAGTGAGGATGACGAAGAAGATGAAGAACTGCTGCTGCCGCCACCAATAAAGTTCAGTTTGGGTGGACCATATTTCAAGGCAGGTGGACCATATTCACGGAAAGGCATTTTCTGTGGCACACCATATTCACGATGTGGAAAACGTTGTGGTGGTCCATAGCTGGGTCCCGGTTGATTTTGTATGGCCTGGGCTGAGTATGCTAACAGCACTGTTAGCAATAATAAATGACACGTCATCTGCAAGAAAGGAGAAGAGAAATAAAAATTTAAATATTGTTTTGATTTAGGATAGAATAGAAGCTAAAATCCTCCAGACATTGGCTAATTTATATTCTCAACAAATATTTGGATATTTTGTCTTTAAATTTCTTTTTTGTATTCCTTACGTTTCTTTCTTCCTACCATTGTTATATTATTCTAACCTGTCATATAACCATTAAGCTGCTTGCCACTTTTTTTTGCTTTAACCAAACATTGTCAAGCGAACGAAGGAAAATGTGTGCCTGATGATGATGGTGGTACAACAACTACGATAGCCGGCGGCTGAAACAACATCCCGTGTTCACTATGTGTCACTGAGCAGCACCATCCTGCACCCAAGTCATGGAACTTGGCATAAACAAATAACCCGCATCTTTTCATACCCGAGATTCAGAGCATAGAGGTGGGTCAGTGTGCTACCCTTAAAAAGCGAAAGGGGTAATGTGGAACTTTCTGTTGTTCTTCTTGTTATTAGTGTGAAAGTTTAACATATGATACACATAGCAAGGTAGGTAGGTGGGTAGTTGTACTTGTTTGGTATGGGTAAAGTTGTCATTATTTGAAACCGTACGTGTTCTCTGGAAATGTGTATTGTAAAACTGGGGGACTGATATCGGAACTGAGTTTCGTTATTGTTTTGTTTTTTGTTGTTGCTGTTTTTGTTTTCCAGCATGGCTTTAACTTGTCAAGCTTCACTCTTAACATTTTGAGTCACAAACACATGCAATGTAACATCCATATGTACGATATGTGGGTACGTATATTCGACTGACAATATTGGAAATGATGCTGCTGCTGTATACAGGTAGAAAGCATCCAGTCATTCGTTCATTCATTCCATCACAGACTAAAAAATAAGAAGAAGCCTCCAAACTGAGATGTAAACATTTCGAAGGTAGGCATGGCAGACAATATGACAGTCAAGTCAAAATCATATCAAAAACTCTTTTTTCGTACAAGACAAGATATGGAAGTGGTAGGGTGATGGTTTTTGAAGGGAAACTGTGGTTAATGGAAGCAAGAAATCATTGAGATAATTTCTTCTCAAGGCGTAAGTTGTATAATTCTCATTAGTTTGTGTATTGATTCTTAAGCCTATTATTTGTCCATATATCAAAATGTAGAAAAAATTTCACCTAGTTCTGTGACTCTTCTGAATCGTTTTCCTTTGTGAACCACACAATTCAATGGAACTAGTTCCTTGGTGAACTAAGTAACACTTACTTGAATAAAATGCAAATTTTGGAATTCTAGCGGAAATACTATCTCGATCAACATAACTTTTCGAAATATTACAGTCATCCGAAATTTATTATTATTTTTTTTTTTAATTTTCTGAAACTTTGAATATGTATGTCACTCAAACAAAACCGCTGATAACTATACGACTTGTTAGAGTTAGAAAATCTCGTTCCTAAAGGAACTAGACAATTAATTTAGTTCCGTAATTCCATTTAGTTCAATTGTTCCCACACGTCAGTCAATTCGGTCCTTGGACGAGAAACCTTAAATGAACGATAGCATCAAATGGAACTAAAGTGAACGAGAGCAAGAAAGGAATCACTAGATCAAAACGAACTAGATGAACTTTTAAAGTACTGCGTTCTCGAACAACCCATCTCTACTAATTGCAAATTGATTCAAAATGATATATTTTTATTGGCGCTGTATTAAATCACAATATAGATCCGCACCATTTATTCGTCTAAAGAGCGTACATTTTAGTTTTGCCTTTTTTGGGGGAACTAACTAACTAAGTCATTCTGAAGACGCGAATTAGATATTCATATGCTTCTTTAGACCCACACTTTACCACTCGTTTGTTTTTTATTAGAGTGCAATCCACAAATATTGCTGACCTAGTACATTGGCTGTTCTAAGCAAAGCGTTCAATGGAACTAGTTCCTCTGTGAACCAGGAATAGTTCCATCGTGAACTACTTTCAAGGCAAATAAAATTAATAAGAAGTAGATCCGCAAAAAATTAAGAATTTTTTTGAATGTTTCTTAGACCCGACACCAAGTTCAGTGGCTCTTTTAGTGAGCTGTTTTTTTTAAGAACTACACAACATAATTGAACTTGTTCCTTCGTGAACAAGCCCCCCGCTGATGGGAATACTTGATGAACAAACACTTTAAAATTGTATAATGCCGGAGGGTCAATTAATAAAATATTAGTTCTCAAAAGGACCAGGAATTCATTCTTCCAATGAATATTTGGGTGTAGGTGTCATTTTGCAAAATATATAATTAATCTCTTTTTAAGTACATTCAATAGAATGATTTCTAAATATGAACCGATTTTATTAATTTTAGAAGTAAGTGAAGATTATAGATACGTTTGACAATCTCGTTCCCAAAGCGCTTCGATTTTTTTCGGTTCGCTCCGTAAAATGAACTAGTTCATTAATTTAGTATCATAGTTTTATTATAGCAATGAACGTTCAAACCTTCACTATACAGTTGATAAAAGAAGAGAAGATTTAGATGAAATATTGGATCAACAGATGGCGGCGAACGGGAGCAAAACTGAACGACTGGGGTATAACAAAACTATATGAACGAAAGAATCGGGCCTAGTACAAATTTTTCCTCTTGTGGAATAGTTCTTTGGAACTAATTCATTCCAAATTGGTATACCGTTAATCTATTTCAATACTCTTTAATTTTCTGGACAATAATTACAGATGTGTGGGTATACTATCGCGTCTGGCAGACATCTATTCCAAAATTACGTTCATAATGAGGTTCGATCTTTTTCGGTTCGCTTCTAAGAACTACACTCAAAACAACCATGTCATCGTTCGCCGCAAATCCGATAAATTAAAGGGAAAAGGAAAAATTGAATCAAAGCCAATTAGGTGAAAGGGAGCAAAAATGAACGACAGGAGCAAACGCAAGAATCGGACCTAGTACAAATCGTTTCAGTTGTGAAACTAGTTCAACTAGAACTGTGTTGTTGAACTAGTTCAACAACAAATGGAACGATTTGAACTAGGTCCGATTCTTTCGTTTACTATTCCAATCATAAGTATTTTATTGACAGGAGAATAAGGAACTAACTGAACGAAAGAACCGGACCTAGTACAAATTTATTTCTAGAAAGGTATTTTCTGGGCATTTTATTTACGGGTATTCGTGTTTCCCAATGCGTCTTTTTAATTCTTTTCTGTTCGCTCCACAAAAGGAACTGCATATATTCATTTGTGCCAATGAACATTACGGTAAATTCGGCAGGAAAATGAAAAATTAAATCAAAGAGAACTAGGTCAAAGGAGTAAAACTAAACGACGGAAACAAATGAAAGAATCTGACCTAGTACAAATCGTTCCCTTTGGGGAATAAGTCTCTTGAACTAGTTCCTTTCGGAACGACAAAGATTTTTAATTTGTTACACTGTGGCCAAAATCATAAGATTTTCGTCCGATATTTTATTTAATGTTTATGTTGGAAAATTTCTCCTAATTTTGGACCGAATCGTTTTTGAGGGGTATGTGGGAGACAACAAATTCAAAATTCCAATTACTACACCATATCTGGGCATGTGTGTTTTTGAGGTTATGCTTGAGGAACAATTTTCAAAATTACTACAAAAGAAATAATTTAAAATTACAAAATATTACATTACAAAGTAGAGCAATCCCTCATCTGTAGGAATTTTTAGTTGTGATTTATTAATTACAATATTCCCTCAAAAAATACCACTGTCCACTTATATATTTGCCGGGTGACATAAACCATAGCACCTTATGCATCAACACCAAACAACAACAACAACAGGAGTAGCGGCAAATACAACAGGCAGCAGCTGTTAGCTGTATGAAGTAATAACCGCATTTAAGCACATAGACGACAGACGACGGTATGCTTGAATGAATGAATAGATGATGGCAGGCTGAATGGCTGGCTGGCTGGTTGACTCGATGGATGGATAGGTGGCTAGATGACTGGCTGGCTGGCTGCACGACAACGTTACTTTAACAACTTTATTAAAATTCAAAATGTGTAACGACGACGACTACGACGCCGCGAACTGACGAAAACGTCAAACGCAAACTCATAACTTTGGCTGGATGTGTAACATTAGGTGTTTATGTGTATTAGATTGATACTACGCTGATGGTACACCTTGCATAAATGGATGGGTGCGTGCTTGTGTGTGAGGTGTGACACGGTTTTAGCTGTGGCAGAATGGGTTCCACATTTTTTGTTTCCCCGGCTAACACATTTTTTCCTTTTCATATTTTCGATCACATTTAGGTGGGTTAGATGGTTAAAGAAAGGTGTTGTACATACCAGCGAAATGAGACCTATATATATGTGTCTGTTTGTATCTTGTGCACATTTGCTGTTTATCTATAGCTGTGTGTGTATGTTACAAGTAATATGTAACTAGCTGCTGCTATCTGTTATGTGTTATTTGTAGCATTTTTGTGAGCATCTAGTAAATGTGTGACAATTTACACAGCTGTACAGTTAAGCGAGTGGAATGAGTTGAGAGGGGTTAGTTATTGATGAGTTGTAGGCTGGTAGCCTTAAAGTACACATAGCGAAATGTAGGGCACACCAAAATAAGAAGAGATCACATATTTTGGATGTAATTTTTTTTAAGTTTTGGTGCGTAGGTATGGGATATGTATGAAGAGGAAGAAAAAAATTTGAAATACATTTTCTACGAAAATTTGATAAAATAATCGATTACCGGAGAAACCAGTAACTCGATATATTTCAAAATAACTGAGATACTTTTTGGGCCAACAGTTACAATAAGTCTCTACGTGGTTTAAGCAAAATACCTCCCCTACAACAATTCATTTGTATCCTATCAAAATTACTTGTCTTGATTAAGTAGCTGTTCTTTGCCGATCATTTACCACCTCGTACTGTCATTTCTTTGCTTTTCACTTTGCCTTAGGTATAAAATTGTTGTGGTTAACCTAACAAATTTCTTGTTGATTAACTTTTTTCTTCCTATATTCCATATGTATATGTGTTAACCTTGTATGAAGGTTTCAAGCCTTTTTTTCGCAGAAACACATTTTTGTTGTGTAATCATATCTTTGTTTAAGTTTAAAATATCATTCCAATTAGACGTATATAATTCCACGAAACCGAAACATATACTACACATATTTATAAAAAAAAAATAAATAAATGTGTGTAAAATGTAAATGTTCACAGTGCAGAACATGGCCAACAATTATATTAGGCTGTATTGGAAAATTTAAATGTGAATAAATTTAAAAGAAGAAAGTTTGAAATGCTTAAACCCATATCGAAGGCATTAGTCAGCGATACCGACAAAAATATAGTCTCAACATACATATCCAAATTTTTGTCAAGATTTGTACCGGTCAGTGGGAATCCACGTGTCGGAATCGGGAATTTTTGCTATCTACCTCTATACAATAGTTAAGATTAATACCTCGGCGGGATTTGATGAAAAATATTGCGATATTGGATCAAATCAGATGAGGGAGAGTCCCTCATATTACAAACAAATATTCTCCAAAACTTTGAATTTTTTATATTGAATCTTCCAACTTGATGTATTATTAAGATGGGTATATTTTATTAGACCTTCCAATGGTTGTTGTACGCACCAAGTCCGACGGAAAGACTTTATTTAAATCAGCTACAAATTGTCTAAAGCAGGATTGGGCCAACATATTATATTTCCTCCTCTTTTTACACCTCCTAAAAATTGAGGCTCGCTGAAGTACTGAATGACACATTAAACTTATATTAGATTGGGAAAAGAAATCGAATATTTTTATTATATTCGGAATGTCCGATTTGGCCAAATATACACCGTTTTGTTGTATGATTTATTGACATTTTAAAGGTAACTCGAGGGAGTCTCTATTTGCAAAAAAATCTTGTAGTCGATTTTCACAATCCTCCCTAGATACCAATTTGTTATCATTAACAAAATTTTGCAATGCAATAAAAAGATGATAATCGCTTGGTGCCAAGTCCGGACTGTACCAATCTCCCGAAGTTTCTGGCGAGTCACTGTAGATATGTCTGGTCTAGCGTTATCCTCGTGGAACACAACACCTCTCCTGTTGGCCAATTCTGGCCGTTACTGGCCAATTGCTATATTCAAACGGTCCAGTTGTTGACAGTAGAGATCAGAATTTAGCGTTTGGTCATATGAAAGCAACTCATAAAAAATTACCCCCTTCCAGTCCCACCAAATGCATAGCAGAATCTTCCTGGCCGTTAGTCCTGGTTTGGCCACCGTTTGTGGTGCTTCACCGCCCTTTGGCCACTATCGTTTTCGCACAAGGTTATCATATGTGATTCATTTCTCATCTCCAGTCACCATTCGCTTCAGAAATGGGCTTATCTCATTCCGTGTGGCCAAGGCTTCGCAGGTGGAAAATCGATCCATCCTATTCTTTCTGTTAATTGGTGTGGCACCCAAACATCAAAGTTCGTTTTGAATCTAGCTTTTTTGTAGACAGTTCTATGGTCGATTTTTAGATCATAAACTGTGTTACGGCTGCTAACATGCCGGTCGACTTCGATCATTTCTGTGATTTTATCGGCATTTTCGACGACCGGCCTACCTGTATACATCTTAAAAATTTCCTGAACGGATTCTACGAAACAAAAATTGCACGTAATTGTCTGTTGCAGTATCGGAACCATAAACACCAATTTAAGACCGTAATTTTCAAAAGAAAATCAGTAAAATGTACCGAATTTTCTCTTTGTTCACTTCCTTTTTCAACACCCTGTAACTCATAAACAGCAAACTATTTTTTTACTTCGAAATGTCACCCTTCCAAGGAGCATAAATCTGAAATTGTTTGATCGATACTTTACGGGAAATCTATTAATACTGCCATCTGCCGAAAAATAATGGATTACTTTTTCCCCAAAGAAAATATATAAGTGTCCCTGCCGATTTTTTTATTTTTTAGACTGATTTTGCATAAAATACCCCTTGATGATTCTGCTTTTCCAAGGTAGTCAATGAAAATCATGCCATCCGAATTCCATGACCTTGTCAGTGTGTGTATTTTTTCGTGCATTGAAGGGCGTTAGTTATATTTGAACCATTCGAATATGGTCTATCCATGTTGGAATAGTCTCAATTTCGGTGCCATTTTCTAACCGAAGTATGGTCGAAGTAGGTAAAGGTTTTCATATGGGTACAGGTTTTGGCATAGAAATCCACAATTTTCTCCAATAAAAATAATAGGAAAATCATTTTCATACTTGGCTCTACTTTACCACTATTCGCGTTATTTTTTCTTCTATTTCTCTCTTTTGACAAAAACAAATGTATTCCTCACAAGAAAAAAGGCCACCTCATTCATTGTTCGGCGGTGTTTTGTTTTGATGTCATCTTCTGTATCTCACCTCACTTGGTGGTTTACCACTATTCGCGTTAATTTTCCCCTCTCTATCTCTCTCTTTTGACAAAAAAATGTATTCCTCCCAAGAAAAAAAGCCACTTCATTCATTGTTCGGCGGTGTTTTGATTTGATATCATCCTCTGTCTCTCACCCCATTTGGTGGTTGTTAGTTTTGCAAACGTTTACTTGTCTACAGTTTCTCTTGTTTGTAACCGCGGTCTCTTCACTCACTCGATTGTGTTCCATTGTTTCTTTACTGACCTCGGCATTAGTGTTATAAAATTCGCATATGTATTTTCCAAATTATTTCGATAAAAATGTCATACAAAGCAATAAGCTCAACAGAAAGCTTCGCGGTGGGCCTATAGAGTGGTTGCCCCATTCGTATGTAGGCACATTTTTCAACTTACGAAATGACTGTAATTTTACATTCTGGGATCTTGCTAGGTAAACTATTTCTTCACAGAATATATTCGATATACATGTTTTTATGTTTTTTAGACCCCATGGAAAGATCATGCTTCATTTTCGGTATATTCAAGGTTTATCCTTTGAAGACATATATTGTGCTCAAAAGAAGTAATATTACGTTCAAAATTCCATTATATTTGTTATATGACGCTTTAATCGTGGTTAAAATTTTAACAAATTTAGTACCGCAATTCAATCTAATATCCTTTTGTATATGTATGTTAGACCGCATGTACATTTTCCCATGAAATACACACACAAATATTAGCGTTCAACATCTCGTGTGTCAGTGTGTTGACTTTTACACTTGGCTTCTGTTAATTTTGAAAAACTAATTAATTATGTTTAATTAGTTACTAATTTAGCATATGTAACATTTCAATTTGATTTTCCGTTTCAAAGCATTTAACATTTCGCCCCGAAAAGGTCATGGCTGTATGGCTATAGAATTTTACAATTTCTTCAACATGTATATATGTATGTCATAGATGTAGAAACGTAAATAGATATACAATTAGGTGGGGCAGGAATTAATATTAATATTTAAAAAAGAAATTTAAACGAAGAAAAATAAAAAACGGAAAGAAATACTGAAACTTTGAATGTAATTGAAGAAAAAAAATAAGATAAAAAATATGAGATACACAAAATTGTAGTCTTTGGATCGATTTTTCAAACACTGAAAATAGCATCATTACATCTTTGAATAAATGCTCACTACGTCTGCGGACCTTGACAAGTTGGTAATTTTGGTGTGGGGGTATTTAATTGGTAATTTTCGATGTAGCGATCGAAATTGCCGTGATTTTTAAACATTAAGAAACAAGTAAAAACACCGAACATTTCATACCCCCAGCTAAATATCTAATTTTGTCTCATATTTGGGGGCATGGAACATTTTCTGTACTTTTCGGTTGTAAAATATGGCCGAACCCCCAAAATACTTCGAAGCTGGACTTGTATTGTATAGAGGAATTTAGGAAGGGGTCTAGAATGGACATTCCCTCCTATAATGTTTTTTACCCTCATATAACCTGGAATGCCAAATTAATGTTTACCCCGTCCAATACACAATGAATACAAATGCATTCTTAGTCAATTGCACATATAGACCACTAGCAGCATTCAGTGCATGTTTAACACAGTAAACAATTTCCCTTTGGATAATTAAATTATTCTCTTACAAATATTAATCAAATAACATTCAACATTGCAGATATTTATTTAAGATATCTAGATTAATACACACAATATATAATAAAATTACATATTGAAATATAATTAATAAATTTAATAATTATCTTTCAACAACATTACCACCTGTGTATATGTATGCCTTATTATCTTAATGAATTTTTGCACCCACCTATTTGACCTATATTTATTTCCGCCTACAGTTTTTTGTTGTTTTATTTCGTATTTTTTTCTTTGTGTGTTTTTCCCCCACTTTTCGTTTTCTTTAATTTTAATTATGCTGTCTATATAGCGGCAATGCATTGTTACATCTGTCGTATTAAATAACTGACAGCCAATTTATCTTGAAGTTATATGCCAAGCACGAACGTCCGCCCCCAGTATCCACACGCTAATATATGTACGATATATATATGCGTAACAAGCATGCCATTGATATACATATGTATTGTGCATCATCAATAAAATATAAGCAATTACATTACATTAAACACTATTTTTTTCATAGTAATTAAAAAAACACTGTGACAACTAAGCTGAAAAAATAAGGGTTACGCAAAATGGGTTTAAAATTAAATGAATTAGAAAGAAAAAATGTTGGAAACAAAAAAGATATAAGACTGCACTTCTTTTATATACAATTAGATTCTCCTTTTAAATACAATTAGAAGATTCTGCAAATTTTTCTATTAATATAAAAATGTAGTTAAAAATCAATCAATTCTTGTTGCCTATATATGTTAACAAATAATTTGTCATTAAAACTTAACTTTTATACCGTTTACCAATGATGGTATATACACTTTGTAAAGGCAAAAGTGTGTCTCATCGAAATATGGGATTTCAACCGTTAAGATTCTGTAGACCAAATCTGTTTTAGACAGTTTAGAGTCGATTTAAAAATGTCTCTCCCTCCGTCTGACTGGCTATAAATCTCAGAGGTAATATTCGATATAGTCCAAACTTAAATCAAGTTCGAAGTACGGCCCAGATAATATTTTGCGGAATTTATCTTTTACATTTTATGTTATTTGAAACTAAAACTTTGTACATCCTAATATTTTAACCAAGCCTGTATAATGTTTAAAGGCCAGATCAAATGATTCCAACTATGCACATCATAATATTTTTACTAAACATAGATCAATACCGAAGATGGCACCCATCAGGTCAAAATTTTTAAAAACTTGTAAATTCCATATGTGGCGAACAAAGTTACCCAACTTGATCCATTAGTTATACATTTATTAAAACAAATTGCTTCACCTAGACTGTGATATCTATCAATATCCGCAATTCAAAATAGTGTATGTAGTATACACATATCGTAGGAAATATATCTGTCGGCAACATCGACTGACACTTTTTACATCCTACAAAACTATGTAGTCAGGGTATTATAGCTTTGTGCAGCCCCAAGAGTTTGTAACGCCGCAAAATATTGGTCCTCGACTCACCTTTAAGTATAGCGATCGTCATAACGCGACTAATTGAGTCGATCTAGACTTGTGTGTCCGTCCGTCTGTCCATTTAAATATGTAAACACGATGCACACCACAGTTATGGACCAATCTTCACGAAATTTTACATTTAGGATTGGTTCTAGCTTACTTATTTTTTTTCGATTTTTCTAGTCGCTCCAGAGGTTGCAATTATGGCCCAAACATCGCGAATTTTTACATAGAGAAGGGGATCGAACCAAAGAATAAGCCTACCTATTTTGATACATATCGGTTAATATTTAGCGGGTCAAATGGACCCTGTCTTTTGTGTGAAAAATTACAGCATTTGTATTCTATAGCGAATATATTTACCCTGAAGGACATAGACCCGAGATGTTGATAATATATCCAGAGGAGTAGTGGACCTATAAATTGATACCAATTATATTGTCTACGTACGGCAATATAATTGGTATCAATTTATAGGTCCACTACTCCTCTTGGATATATCGGATGTGGGAGATACACTTACATATTTATTATTATTTAGTAACCCATTGCCACACTAGAGGGCAGAAATATAGCGCTGATCTCTTCGAAAATTTCCATGAGAATCCAGATATGGTCAAGGATAACGCCTGTAATTTCTGAAAACTTAATTTTTTTTTTGTTTTTTAGAGTCGATCTATAGACCACAATTATATACCGAACATCACAACACAATCGCGGTGAAGCAAATCTGGACAAGTAATTAGAAGAACTGTACTGAATATTAGTAAGATTTGTTGACCCCTAGTCGGTCAAGAGGGTGCAAATATCGCGAAATATTGCCCAAGCTCAGAATGTAGTGCCACAGGAAGTTAGATTTTCGTGGAAGTTGTGTAGGGTATCATATGGTCGGCCCCGTCCGACTGTACTGGTTCATAATTAATTTTTGACATGAAGACAACATCATTAAATTATGCTGGACCGAATTTTGATACCCTCTACCATGAGGTATATCGAAGCTATATGCAAACCAGGGAGCTGAGCAGTGTAGTTGAACAGAGCCGAACATATGATACCCTACATAGCAACCACTGAGCTTTAACTTTCTCGCTTGGCCAAACGGAATGAAATAGACCCATTTCTTAAACGGATAGTGACTGGGAGTGAGAAATGGATAGCATACGATAACCCTGTTCGAGAACGATATTGGTCAAAGAGCGGTGAAGCACCTCAAAAAAAAAAAAAAAAAAAACTTTTCGTCAAGAAGTCTTTTGTCTTCTGAAAACACGAACTGCCTATAGATGTATTTCTGGGAAAATGAGACAAGAACTACACAACATGAGGCAATAACTACTTAACAAGTACGGTATATTTTTAAGAAGGAAGACAAAGATTATAGTACGTTTACATTAAACCGAATTTCGATAACCCAGTGGTTTTCAATTGTCAATTCCTTTGTATATATGTCAAATAAATCCTCTTAAAATAGGTTTACCCGGAAAAAAGTTCTAAATTTTGACTTATCACTTTAAACACATCCGTTCTTATTCCTTGGTCATTCTAGCGGATGACGGATAGTAAAATAGAGAAAAATTCAGTTTTTGGTCCACTAGATCCCCTAAATATTAACACACCACAATTTTTGGTGTTTAGCTGTTTTTAGGCAGAACCGACAATATAAACAATTATTGCCGCTTTATCAATAACCCTATATATTCGTTAATAATCAATATCATACAAAATCATAACGGAAACTAAAACAACAAACAAATGCCAAAATGTATGCACTTTGCCTCTTTATTTATAAACATCACGATTGGCTACATAAAACCAATACTCAATTAATGTCATCCATAAAAAGTGGGTGTTTCACAGGCAATTCACAACATCAACAAAATTTACATTTTTAAATTTAATTTAGCATTTCTTTAGCGGTTACCCAGAGTGCCACTGACTGAATTACATTGCAAATGTAGACATGAATGTACAAAAAAAGTAGCTTGGAGTGAATGCACTACGGGGGCTTTGATGAAACCAAGAAAATTGTTAATAACAATGGCCAACTAGTGGTATTAACAAATAAACTTGTGGGAGTTTGGCATTTTTTCCTCTTCGTCTGCAAGTAAACATTGTTGTGTTGCGGGTTTTATA